GGGTTGCCATGGGCTACCATGTGTAGCCAGCAGCCAGCATGAGCGGCCGGCAGCCGCAGTGAGTGGCCGCAATGAGTGGCTGTCCAGAAGCCAGCGACTGGTCTGCCTCACCTGGGAAGAGCACAATGATGGTGCCAACTTGGGCCAGTGAAGCAACTTACTCCACAACTAGACTGAAGAACAAAATGACAGCAACTTGTCTGTTCCCCTTCCCCCAATTCCCCAATTAAAAAAAAAAAAAAAACCTTTAAAAAAAAATACAACGCAGATCCTATCCCTCCTCTGCTCAGGCCCTCCAGTGAGTCCCATCTACTCAGTAAAGCAAAAGCATTTGTGGTGGCCCATCGGCCCTGCATGTCCCCCTTTTCCATCACCACCAGTTTCTCCTCTGCCCTCAGTCTCCACTAGTCTCTCAGCTCACTGTTTTTCAAACATGACAGGCACACTCTCACCTCAGGGCCTTTGCATGTGCAGGATCTGTGGGCTAGAATGTTCTTCCCCCAGATACCTGTACTGCTTGGTCCCTCCTCTCCTTCTCGTACTTTCAGTGAGGTCTCCCTGATAATCCTGTTTAAGCTTACAACCTGCCTCCCAATACTCCTGGATCCCTGATGTTTTCTCCAGGGCGGTTATTGCTATCTTATATACTTCATATTTTTTAACTATTGATTTTGTTTGTCTGGCTTTCTCACAGCTCCCCCAGAATGTAATGTCCCTGAGGACAAGAATTTTTGCCTTTTCTTCTCTGCTGTATTTACAACATCTACACAATAGCCACAACTCAGTGCCAACCACTGACTTAATATTGTATATCCACTTACTCCTCATAACATAAGTATCATTCATAATATAAGTGCATGTATAGTATATAGTACACAAAATGGGAATAACAAAATTATCTATCTCATAATAATTTGTGAGGATTTGATGTTAGAAGTCCTGTGAAGTGCTTAGCACACTGCCTGGCACAAAGTGAGTGCACTTTAGGAAAAAGAAGCTGAAGCTCAGAGGGGTTAAGTGACCTGCCCAAAGCTACCCAACTGGGAAGAGGTGGGGCCCAGACTGGAACCCATGTCAGTCTAACTCCAGCCACTTTCTAAATCACAATGCTAAGACATATCACAGTGTTTGGGAGAAAGGCAGTGGCAGGACACAGAAACCAGCTCTGGAAATCCACAATACAGGATTTAAATCCTGCCTCTGGCACACACTCGTGCGTGACCTCAGCAATTCACTCCTGCTTTCAAGGCCTGCAGTTTCTCTTCTATAAACCAGGGGAAGTCTTTCCCCCTCTGACATGGGTACAAAATAGTGTGAGAGTTAAATAAGCTAGCTGATACGAAAGCAATTGGTAACTGTGCAACCGAACATTTTTCCAACCTAAGATCTGCAGCTCTGGCAGAGGACCCACCAAATACTAACGGACTAAGAATTGTAGGCCCTGGAAAGCAAACTTTAAACACCCAAATTTATAAGGGAAAAAAGGTATGCTCCCCTGAACCATTTGGCTTGTGCACATGTTCCTCCCTCTCCCTCAATGTCATCCTCACCTCCATCGTGTTGTTTGGTAAGGTTCTCCTCACCCTTCAGGTTCCAGCTCAAAGGTGTCCTCTGCCAAGAAGCCCTACCTGAACCCTAAACCAGGTCAGGCATCCGATGGACTCTCCCATCCCGGCTCTGCCCACTCTGAGTAGCCACTCTTGCAGGATGGGTCTGTCCCACTGAACTGTGAGCTCCTTGAGGGCACAGACTAGACTAGCTTGATCCCTGCTGTTTCACCACACGGCCCGGCACAAGGCCAGGCACAGAGCGAATGCTCTGAAAATACTAGCTAAATGAAGTAATGGATGGATGGATGAATGGATGGATGAATGGTGGCCCAGGAAATTATGCTAAATTTCCTTATCCTATGCTCCTACAGGCCTATAGCACATCGTTTGTCTTTTTAAAGCAGCTCATATTTTGACTGTTTACTATGCCCTTGTGATCTCAGTTCGAGCTGCCCTCCTCTAGATTTCCTGGCACTATGCCTCTGTGTCAGGTGGCCTCTGTGAGCTCCGAAGTTCCCACCACCCTGACCACTGTGGGTTGCCAATAAAGAGTCATAAGTGTGTCTCCCAGTACCCAGCAAGAAGCCAGCACAGCCTGTCTACTGAATGAATGAACAAACACGGAGTATCAGTGGGTTAATGAATACATGAATGAGTGTCCACTCTGGCTAAAATTACCCTTTTGCCAGATTCCCAGGCCACGTCCCCAGACCCCAGCTTCGCTTCAAGCCACGCTTCTGACCCAGGCCTATTTCCCGGAGTGTAACTGGGGCAAACCGACGTCCTAAACGGGTGCTATACAAGCACCTCTCACCTCCCAGAACAGGAGGAAAACTGAAGCACTGGGTGGCGTTTCAGAAACCAAGGCGCCTAAGGATGGCCTGGCAAATGACCCCGTCTGGTCCCTCCTCCGCTAGGCCCTGGAATGCTCCGCCCAAATTACTCTCGTCCCCCAAACTATTGGTTCGCCTAGACCTCAGTCTCCACGCGCTCTTTTCCTCTATTGGCTGGTATTTTCAACAGCTGCCCGTCCTTACTCACGCCCGCCCTTACAACTGGGCTATCATACCCCCAGGAACTCTCCCTATTGGCTGCAAGACATGCCGGTTCGGGCTGTGATTGGTCGTAAACAGATGTCCCTCCCCTGAGCAACCACCTGAGAGGGGTTGGAGAATGGAAAGGTTGGAGGGACGTGGGGTCAGACTCACGCTGAGCCGGCGGTAGGCAGACGTAGGTCTTGAAGAACTCGCTTCGCCGGGCGGCCTCCTTAATACGGTTGGCAAGCGGCTTGCTGACCTGCCGGATTCCCAAGTATAGCAGCTTCGCCATAGGGAACGCGCCCACCACCATCTTGGCGGTCGCACGGTGCACGGGCAACCCTGAGGACTGGGCGGGGCGCCTCCAATCTCTCTCTCTCTCTCCTCCCCCGCCCACTCGTCGCCGTGCGTGCGCGCGTACGTGCATACGTTCGGGGGGGGGACTGCAGGGGCGTTCCCTGACGCCACCACGTCGACGCTGACGTCCCGTCGTCCGTTCGCTGAATATGCAAATATACCACGGAAGAGAGGCAGTCAGAGGGCGGTTCCGTTAAACGGCTGCTTGCGGGATCGTGAATGGTTCCCACGCCTGCTTCAGCTAGTGTCACTGCGCTCTTTGGAGACGTTACGTATTTAGGTGGCCTCTCCGCCCAAATGAGGCACTTACTTAGTCCTAATTAGGCTATTTGGGCTAATGAATCCCAAATACGCCTACCTCCGCCGGTTAGAACTCTCACCGGGATTAAGAGAAAACTGGCAATGTAGTCATACAGACCTGATTTGGGATCCCAGTTACGTCATTTACTTGCTGTGTGATATTAGGCGAGTGACTTAACCTCTCTGGGCATCGGTATTCTTGTCTACAAAATGTGACTCTTAATAGCACTTACCTAATTGGGTTGCTTGTGAGGCTTGCATAAGAATCTTGAATGGAAAAACATAGTGAACTATGTTAAGTGCTTAGAAGGGTGCGAGTCACATAGTAAGCACTCAATAAACAGCTCCTATTTCTATACAGGTATTATCATTGTTATTGCTACCTCTAGCGTGAGGGTGCATTTCCTCTCCAGAAGTAGCTAATTGAACTCTTTCCCAAGTAACTGACAAACAGGCCCAGAGAGGAGCAGGGCGCTGGTACAAGGTCCCTCAGCAGCAGAGGTTGATAGCCCATCATCTTGGCAAATAAAACCATACCCGTTCTCAAGCAGTCCTACTTCCTCCATTGAGGGGCGAGGGTCCCCAGGGAGCTGGCTCAGGAAGGAGTTTAAGGACATGTCTCAGGCTGTCCTCCCTTACCCAGCAGGGAACAAAATCATATAAACAAAAGTCAGGAAGGGGTTGAGAGAAATTCCTGGATGGTGGAGTGCTGATGGGTAATTGAGAGATTCTAAGAGAGAAGACAGGAGCAGAGGAGTGGTGTGTAGGATGAGACAAACTTTCAGGACATGGAGTCAAGGGACCCTGGGCTTTCGTTGGTATCCATTCTGACTCCCTGACCATCCTTTGTCAAGTCCCAGGAACCGATTGACCTCTATTTCTCCATCTGTAATTATGGCATTGGCGTGTGTGAATCCAGATATTATAAATTATATACTAAGAAGGGCCGGCCGAGTGGCGCGATGGTTAAGAGCTNAAATAAATTGCAATCTTCCCACTGCCCAGAGACATCCCACAGCTCCCTGGGAAATGTCAGCAGTGCACTTTGCAAGAGTGGCCTCAACCTGCCTGGCATCACCAACCTCTTTTATTTTTTCCTCCCCCAGAAATCTTTGTTTAAAAAGATCCTTGCCTCCGCAACACAGTGCATTATCAATGAGTTATGCTTCCGGCATTTACTGTCCTTTCCTCAGGCAGATACATCTACCATTCCAGCCTATCCTGTGAGAACACAGACAGCCGGGCCTACCCTGCTGAGCCTAAAGAAGCCCAGCGAAAGGTAGTGATGCTGGATGTGTTAGTCAGCTCAGGAGGGCTGACCCAGGAGAAGACAAAGCTCCTACTGGCTCTGGGAAATTCTAATCGCTCAGGCTGGGGGTGAGGGTGGGGTTGGCAAAGCAAAGGGAAATTAGCAGATGAAGATAATAACAATATAATAGAAGAGTCAAGATTAAAGTCATTGCACTCTAATATCTAATAGCATCTCCAACTAAGCCTGCCCCAGACTGAGCTCCTGGTCCTTTCTGTGCAACCTGCCCCTCCTCCAGTCTGCCATGTCACACCCAATCCACAGGAAATCCTGCCAGCTCTACCTTCCACACAAATCTACTGGTTATTCATTACTAAGGGGAAAAGGAAAGGTTCTGTTAGTGGTCACCACCTTAACCAAGAGATCCAAGTTACCATCACAAATGACGGAAGCAACAGACATCAGGAGCCCCCTGAGGTGATGTCCTTAGGACACACCATCACGTATGTGGTGTTCCTGCCAAAGATGCTCAACGTGAATCCAATCAGAGGAAATGATCAGAAAACTCCAGATTGTGCGACACTCTAAGGGACAATTGGCTTGGACTCTTTCTAAATGACAATGTCAGGAAAAACAAGAAAGAGCAAGGTCAGCAAACATTTTCCATAAAGGGCCATAGAATAAACATTTTAGATTTGTGGGTCATACAAACCTAACTGTGCAGCCACACACAATATGCAAACAGATGCATGTGGCTGTATTCCAATAAAACTTTATTTACAAAGATAGGCAGGGGGCCAGATTACCAAGCCCTGTTATAGGTTAAAGGATACTCTAAAGAGGCATGATAATCAAAGGCAGTGCATAATCTTTGAGCAGACCCTAGACTAAAAATAATAATAGTAGTAAACAGTGAAAAGGGCATTTGGGGGACAATTGGAGGAATCAGAATATGATTATAGTTATCAATGTTAAAATTCTCAGGTATAACATTGGCACTGTGCTATACAGAAAGTCTTTGTTCTTAGGTGATACAGGCTGAAATATTTAGGAGTGATGTGTCAGTCCACAACGTATTTTCAAATTGTTCATGGGAAAAATATGTGTATACATACATACATGCATACATATACAAGAGCAAAGACATAGAAAATTTGTTGAAGGCTAATAAAGTGATAGGTGATAAAGGGTTTGTAACCGAAGACTACACCATTCTTTCTTTCAACTTTTCTATGGATTTGAAATTTTAAGAAGAGTTAGGGGAAAAAATTTCTCCGGAATCTGACCTCTCCTCCCCATTCGCCTCTCACCTGGACCACTGTGGTCGCCTCCTCCCTGCATCCATCCTCACCCTATGATTGCCAAATGGATCCTATTAAAATACAACGCAGGGCCGGCCGAGTGGCGCAATGGTTAAGAGCTGGCTTGGGACGCCAGAGGGTCCCGGTTCGGATCCCACATATGAGGGCCAGTGACACTGCCCTCCACAGCTAAGATGCTGAACAACAGCTCAACCTGGAGCTGGGCTGCCGTG